TACTACTGTGGGAGGAAAACCGACTCCGGCTCATGGGCTCTGGCTGTGGTTTCAGTGTTCGGCTCTGTGGTTGCGGTTCTGCGGCGGTTCTGTGGCGGTTCTGTGGGTCTGGCTGGGTCTGGGCCTGGGACTGGGACTGGGACTCGGAGCAGCAGCAGCAGCGGTACAACAACGACGTCGCGACGCATTGCGGTCTGCCTGCCGCCCAATTAGATACCCACACAGATGCAACCGCCATATAGCACCTACACACCTGTGTGTGTTACCTTCCCTCTCCGCGTCCGTCCGTGTGTGTGTGTGTGTGTGTGTGTGTGGGTGAGTTATGATTTATTCCCATACAGTTACAGCCACATATATCTGTGTATCTGTATGCTCTGTATTGGTTATCTTATCGCACAGATACACAGGTATACAGGGCAGCGGCGATAAGAAGTTGCGTTGGGCACCTCCTGCAGCTGTGTGCGTGTGAGCTGGAGTACAGTTGTCGACACTGCGATAAGGAGTGCTCGTCGTTGTGTCCGTGAGATACAAATACCATGAAGAGATGCTTGGAGATGGGGTTGGGGCTGGGGTTGTGGTTGCGGTTAGTGTGGCCTGTGGCCCATGGAGAGGCACCCCCGACTCTCGACACCCCTCTCTCTCTCTCCCTCCACATTTGGCTATTTGTCAATTGTGCAATTTAGTCTAGCGCATTTTCTAATTGCACTCATAAAACACTTTTCTGGCAAACTAATAAACATGGCCAACGTTAGTCAACGCCAACGGAGAATGGGGAACAGAATGGGGCTTTGAATGGGACTTCGAATGGGGGCTTCATGGGTTCCATGGGCTTGGAGAGACCTGTCGCTGCTGTCGTGAACAAAACTTTATATGACCAGGCCCATACCATACCATTCCCTAACATGTGGGACGCTTTTGACGGCACAGCTACGCTCCACTTGCCCCTCTATTCTCCACTTTCCCACTTGACAATCAGCCGCCAGCTCTCAAGTGTTGTAACTAATGAAAGTCGACAGAAAAACAGCAAGAGAAACACACTCCACAGCGGATCGATCGACGCTCGACGCTCGACGATCACACACGTGGTCGAGGATCAGGTGCTGTAAATATTGCAAAACCTTACAAAAAATAAAATGTCTCTACTCCACAAAAGCAAAGATTGAATTTTGTGATTTGCTTTTCGGGCTGAAGTGTCTGTCTTTTCAGTCTGTTTTTCCCGCCTGTCTCTGTGCAAGCTTGTGTGGAGGAATGCTTGATCGGAGATCTGACAAAACGTGTGCACAATCGCAATGGATTCATTGCAAACTTATTTCTACTGCCAAATCACGATACAAATGGGGCTAATTTGAAAGAGACATAGTCCAAGACTTCGATCTTCTGGACTTCTTTTTGGAGTTGAAGGAAAGATAAATCGATATTATATGTCTTTATAGCACTTTTTGTACTGAAAAGCTTCAACTAGATTGTAATTATCCGTTTCAATCGTTCAAGCATCAACCTAAACTAAGTCGGAAATCTTTTAATTATTCATTCCTCCCATATTACTTATACATTCCATGATAATCAAAGCTCCAAGTACTCCAGCGACTCTCTCATCTTAAAGATGTTTAATTTCCCTTCCTCAAATATTGCAGAATCTCTTGAGGGGAAAACCACACAAATCACATTTCAGAGCCATCCCCGCAGCAGTCATGGAGCCGAGCCACACAGCCCCCAGTCGGCCCGTTCTCGGGCCAATCATAAATTGTTTATAGTTAAAGTCATAAAGCAAGCAGATATATGAGGGCCATTAACCATGCACAACCAACGAAACGCAAAGAGGTTCTCCACGGTAGAAAGAGGTTCCCCCACTTCCACCTTCCACTTTCCACCTTCCCCTCGTTACTCCTAATGCTGACATTACCAGCATTTTTTCCACGCCCGCTCGACCCGCCCGCCACTCCATGAATGGAAATCGGGTTGCTGTGATAATTTTAATTGTTGCAGCTCATGTGGTGCATAAATCATGGTGCAAATCTAAAGAGCAAATCCGCCAGACAAAAAGTATCTAATAGCTGCGGCTCCAACTCTGACTCCCAATCACGTTGCAAGTAGCAACTGACTGTGGCTGCGGCTCTGGCTGCGTGTCGCAAAATATCAGCTCAGTGATTAATCACTCAAAAAAAAGCTGACAGACAGCCTCCGAACAAATGGCGCTACATGGAATCAGCATTACAAGAGATTAATACAAGAGAGGAAGAGGGACAGTCCACTCCCCATGGCAGGAAAACAACCGAAAACTGACTCATGGACAGGAGGCAGGGAAGCTTCCCGTCTTTCGTCTGTGCAATTAATACCCTAATTGATGGCACCGCCTGGGCCAGGGCAGGGCTTTAGGTGCTTTTCAAAGTGAATTTACGGCGTACGGGCCCGTACGTAAGACGCAAGACTTAGAAGGCGGCAGAACACACAACAAACAAAATAGAACCGAACCAGGGCAGAGGGTGGATGGCAGACTTAACACTGCTTGACCAGAGTCTCGTATCTACTGAAAAGAATCAAGAAGCCAACTCACACACCCTTCAACTTGTCCACAGTCCAACGTGTCCACATTGGCTCCAAGTTCTCAAGTGCCACTGCGCCAGTAAACAAAAGACAAGCTCCCAGCTCCAACCTGGAGCTCCAACCAAAAATGCTATCTCCTATTCCGACTATCGAAACACTTTTCGTGCCTTGACAGTATCGGCCGAAGGCGATCAGTTTGGTTGTTTGTTTCTTTTTGCTGCTGCGGAATGACTGTAGCAAATTTAATTTATATTTTTTTGTACAATTTTCGTCACTTGTTCTGCGAGAATTGAATTTTTTATTTTATTTTTTCTGTCCATGTTCGGTGGCGTATTTTGGCGGTCGTCTGTGGCGATAAGGGGAAGAGCTCTTTTTTCGGGAAATTAAACTGTTTGAGTGCCAACAAAGGCGTGCGCCATAGTTTTAATTATAGCCAGCTGCCCCACCCTTCCTTTCGAGGGTGGTTCCCACCACAGCAGCAGCAGCAGCCACCCCAAAGGCATTGCCCAATCCGTGGCACACGGCAGCCATCAGCCATGAGCCACCATCATCCATGGCGTGGTTCGATCACATAAAGCTGTATGCCAAATGGAACTGCTTCGGAGTCTAATTTTGACCCTGATCTGAGACTCGAGGGGGACTCTCCTCCCGCTGGTTACCGCATTTTGGGTTCAAGTAAATTCTATTAATCCGCCAGGCGGAGCTCTCCCGCTCCAGCTCTCTCCCTCTTCTGTGTTTTGTGGCCATAAATCATTGTCCGCTACCGACAATTTGGACATGAGTTATGGAAAATGGAACTGCGCATTCGATGAGGCGAATGGGGCCAAGCAGGCTCTGTCTCCTTCGAAATGAAGGAGGAGTTTGCTGGGTGAAAGAGTTAAGCTTTCTTTGTTTGTGTCACTGGGATAATGAATGGTTTCGGGATTATACTTATACGTTGGGTATGAGTCAGGAAAGAGTTTGGGACTTATATTAAGGAATATCGTTACATGATATTAGCCTTTCTGTCTTTAATTCTCAATAAATTCATACAAAATTCATCAAAAATGCATTCACAAATTATGCAAAATCATGAGATCATTGAAGTGCACAACCAAAAATGCTTCAAACAATAGTCAAAATCGAGAAAATGCTAACAGCTCTGTAGCTGATGATTGGAAGCAATCAATAAAGAGGATCTATAGAGAACTTTGCCAGGTTTTGTTTCTGCTACGATTGGCAGCAGCCAGCAGCAATATGTTTTCGAGTGGCAGTGTCGTCTCCTCCAATGTGGTGGCACATACAGCATTCGTCTCGTCTCGTCTCGTCTCGTCTCGTCTCGCCACGTTTGTGGGTACGCACCTTTGTTTGCCAATGAGGCCAGGCCATGGGACGTCGTCGTTGTGGGTTTGTGAGTCATTACTCACATTACTGGCAATCCATAATAATCCATAAGGTTGCTGCTTGTATTGTGCATTGTTTTGGCATGGCCAGCAGCGTGAAACGTGGGACGAGAGCAACATCGACACATCGACGCCATTAACGTTAACAATCATGGCTACTGGGGTTGATTGGGTTTGCCACTGGGGAGTGTGGGGAGAGAGTACCGGTATTGGTAGCTTGTTAACCGCAGATACATTCAGCAGACACCAAACATTATTTATTACTTATGAACGTCTGACATTTTGTTGTTGAAAATTCAAACCAAAAACTGAGATAAATGGTAGACGGGAGACGGGAGACGGGAGACGGGCGCAGGAGCTGCTTCGCTTCCACACTTGAAATTTGCACAGAGAACAGACGGACGATGCACGCTTCGTGGCTGGCTCTTACCAAGGAAATGATCTAAACTTCAGTCATCCGATTGTTTTCCTATCAAACACGAGTGATTTCTCCCCTGCAGATATGTGTGCCTGCACATGCTCCTACATAGAGCGCAACATATCGAATATCTGAGAATAGATAGTGGCCTTAGATAAGTTAACGTATCTTAACAGAGAGAGGGAGACAGCGAGAGTGAGAGCGAGAGATTTCAACTCCCCCATGAACACTGCGCGGGAGAGCCCCCCAAGGGATACTCCCGATCCTATCCTCCAGACAGAGTGGCTCCCTCCCCGATAATGCTCCAAGGCAAGGCTTTCCCTCTCGTGACGTCGTTGATTTCTTAGAGGGGGAGGGGGTGGGGGAGGGGGAGGGAACTCCTCGTTGACCCACAGCTAGATAAAAGTATCTAATCTTGGCTTTTTAGCAATACAATACAATACCAGCACCAGCACCAATGCAGCTCGTATTTATAAGATAATGAAGATTTGCTATCAATTTGTTGTAGCTGTAGGAGCAGCACCCCTCCTCCCGCCTGGCTGTAGGATATCGGTATCAGTTTGGGGTATCTGCAACCGCACTGCCATGCCACTCCGCCACACTGCCACACTGCCACTCTTTCACACTTCCACAGCGAGAGTTGTGCCTCTGGGAGGTTCCGCCAGAGTTCCACCATGGACTGTGCTCTCTCTCTCTTGTGGGCCTCTGGGGACTCTGGTGGTCTTTCTGTATCAGTATATCAGTGTTTGAACTGATAATGTCCCAAGATAATAAGCGATAATAATTTGAATTTTTCAGTAATTCCTTAAGTTTGGACGGCCCAACGGCATGGAATCTAATCACAGTTGGTGAGTGTAACTGGGATTTTCAACATGGAAACATTGTTTCATGTCCGCGTGCGAGTACAGAGTGTGTAAAGAGAGACAGCAGAGAGACTCTGCAAGGATATTCCACATAAAATATAACAAAGTGAAGGGAACCTTAAACCTTAAAAACCCAACAACCAACAGAGTTATCCAAGTTCCAAGTGAAAGTACGGAAAGATTTATAATATATTATGGTGTACCATGTCGTACCAGTGTTCAGCTACGAGTTTTGCAGTTATATAAATAAGTTGCAACATTTTGTTGGCTGATCTTTGACTCTGAACATCGATAAGATACGGGAATGTCACGGTGACTTCTGTATAAATTGTCAACTGCCAAAAGCAACGCTCAAGTAACACTTGAAAGCTGGCGAAAGTCAACGTTTTGGAAGTTAATTAATGATCCACTGATTAGATTAGAATATGCTTATTAAGTGCCCATGCGATAGCAAAACAAAATTGAAACCACAGAAAGAATTCCCAGAAATACGACCAGTGGCAACTGACCAAAAATGAAGTGCACTTATCCGCGGAGGTGATCTTTCGGGGCAGGAGGAGAATGAAATTAACGGCAGAGTAAAGCAGTAAAGGGAGCGAAAGCCCAAACGATCCTTATCCTTAACGAATAAGGAAATTCAGTAAAAGAATCACTTAAAGTTGCACCCAAAGCTACTTTTTAAGAGTATTCCCGACACACATCCAGGTATCAACATATGTACCTGTGTATCTTCCATGGAAAAAGTCTGTCAAAAGCGTAGGAAAATTGTCAAGCGATGACAAGACTCTGCTGTCTGTCTGCCTGTACATACATTTTCATTTAAGTTGATGTCTGTTGTTGTGTCTTGTGGATGGATGTCTGCATTGCGATACTTCCATGCCATGCGGGCGATGGTGATGGTGATGGTGATGGTGATGGCGACGGCGACCCCCCTTCATGTCGTGGCCCATGGCATTTCTTCCTCAATTTCATTATCTTAAGTACACATTTTGAAGTACAAACGTCAGTAGGCGATAAGAAACAGCAACTGAGACGGGGAGGTGGAGGTGGAAGAGAACTGGTGACGGCAAAGGTAGCAAACCAAAAGAAGACATCTAAAAGCAGTCAAGTCAACAACAAACACAGAAACGAACAGAACCGTGAAGGGACCGTGAACCGCGCAAAGGAATGAATGCTCTAAATGCAATCTGTTTGCACAATTCCACACAGAGAACACCCATACCATATACGTACGAGTAAATGAATCCCCAGAAACAGACAGAATTTTCAGCATTTTAACGCTAAATAAATCAGGCAAATGTCAAACATTTAATTAGGTGCACCGCAGAGTAGAGAGACGGAAAACCCACCACATGCCATTCCCTTAAGAAAATCATGTAGAAAATCATTATGTGGAGAGAGGGAAGGCAAAGAACAGGGAGGGAAACCTTCTGTAGGGTTTCCTCACTGTTCCTCCTTTCTGTTTGTGGCAGTTTCTGCATATGGTAAATACCATTATCAAATCATATTATCTTATTTATAAGCATTATCGTGCCACAGATACAGATTGCCTATCTATGGAATGGGCATGTAAAAAAATCATATATACACAGATATCTTACTGGCGGCTACGTTATTTCGTTGCTGCCTGCCAGTAAGTTTTGCACTTTCGATTTAAACACGTTCCGCTCTCGCCCGCCAGCCATCAGCCATCAGCCGATCCGTCGAGTAGTTATGAAAATATTATAATTATAATGCATTATAATGCCACCCCAAAATCTCTACGTGCGAGAGTGATAGAGATCGTAAAGTGACAGATCCAGCAACAAAAATGGTTCTACGGTTCTACGTTCTGCGAGTATTGTAAAAAAAAATAGAGCCATAAAATGGCTTGGGGCATGAAATCATCGCATGTTATGGCCTGGCCTGGCCCGGCATGGACTTTAAGTGTGTGTACCGAGTACAAAATATACGAGCATGATAGTTTTATATTAAACCAACAAAAGTGAGCAGCCCCACAGAGTCTTACAGTGACAGTGCCAGTTTGTGGCAAGGAATGGAAACCAAGTGCGAGTACTACTCCTCCGATATTTATGGGGAAAACCCAAATGAGTTTTCAGTGCAGTGTATGAATAATTCTTGTACTTGGACTCTCCATCATTCATTCCACATATGTTTTTCTCCAAGAAGCCAAAAGATAAGAGCTGCTCAGAGACCTACTTAATGCTTAATAAGCATGATTAAATTTATTTCTAGCACTCGCTACGCGCATTTATAGACACACATTATTTGAACGAAAAGAAACGTTTCTTGAGCAACAAAACGGCTTTCCGAGACATTCTCAATCATTTATAGATGGCATTTTGTTCCTCTGCTGCATAGTGATTGACACTTGCGCAGACATTTTATCTAAGAAATTACAGAATAGTTTCCGAAAGCACCCATCTAACCAGTACATCCTCCCCTTTAGCAATTAAGCAACTTGTTTGGCTGCAGTAAATAGATTTCATGTACTCCATGGAATACTCAAAAAGAAAACTAATCCCTTGCATGTCCTCCTACCTCCCCCGACAGCGGATCTCGACTAAGAAACTTCTATATGCTCGTATGGACATTCACTCGGGAAGAGGGGTACTCCATAGTATGATTGGAAATCAAAGCCCAAGACCATATCTTTCTATATCTTATCACGGGCTATGCTTGTGTGTATGATGCGATATCATGTAAGACAAGGCTATATACAATATATGCCACTGGCATGGTATTATCATCCCATTATCTGGCCCCAAAGCGTTGATAGGGAAACCCTGACCCAGCCAGCCCCAAAAAAAGAAAATAATAAAAGAACTTACAATCTCTCGTGCTTAGTGTTTGAGTGAAAGTTTTGCTAAAACGAACAGAATCTCTCCGTACAATGACCGATTAGAACTGCAAAGAGTGAGAGAGAGAGAGAGAGAGAGGACAGAAGAGAAGAAACGAGAAGAGAAACAGCTGAAAACTATTTAGTCACGATGGTAGGGTACATATTGGTATTTGAGTGCCAAAAAGTGAACATTCTGATGAGCATGGAAGGGAGGATTCCGCCCTAATCTGATAGGCTATCAATCAGAGTGGACGCGGATCGAGACGAAGGTTGCATTTGGTGGCACTTGAACGAGTCCACGAGCCAGCGCCGCCAGCGACATGCGACACTTTGGTACAGTCACGTAGTCATAGGCGTGAACACTCCCTCCCCCACTACCCCACTACCCCGCTACCCCCTTCAGTGTGGTAGCGAACAACCCTAGCAATAAACAAAAAACTGTTTTGCCACATGAAATGACTTTCAGATTTTCTGTTGTTTTTGTTTTTTTTGCTGTTGTCGTTTTGTAACGCGTGACTCCCATAAAAAACAAAGTTTATTAAAAAAATAGGAAAAAATGGAGCAAAATAAAAGGGTGGAGGGTGCCTGATGAAAGGGGGGATGGGTAACTCGCGAGAGAGTGACATGGACAGAGGGGTGGAGGGGAACTCAGCAATGCGACGTTATCTTATCGTTGAAAATGTCGCTTTCGTAAATGGCGGCGCACAAAATAAAATAATACACACACAGGCGTACAGAAATCCAAGCACACGTACATCCCCCCACACACACATTCTATATACACACATACATATGTATATATATGGCAGATATATGCATGAATGCATGAATACACCCTACTACCATTTATAACGTTCCGTTCCTGTCTGTGGCAGCAAAATTGTTGCTACGGGATTGGGATTGGAATTGGAGGAGTACCTGCTCGCCGCTTACAAATTTATGGATTTCATGTAACGAAAATTGTCAATAAAACTCAATGAGATTATACCATAATGTACATGTTTTAATTCATAGCTTAAATGTAGGAATCAGCTGCAGCAAAATATTAACAATTAAATGACCAAAGAGAGCAGTTAGTCCACGCCTACGATTTACGAGCCTCTTGGAATCAATCATAAAAAATCAGCACTTGCGTTAATGGAATTCTTTTCTCATCTCATCTTCAAATTTTAGCAAGGCCTAAACTCTGTTTATTATATTTTTAATAGTTAATTATTATAAATTATAAAATGGTTAATTCTACTTATTAAATGTAAATTATACACGAGATGTATGTATAGAAATCATGTAGAATAGATGTAAGTACCTAAAAACTACATGATGTGTCGCTGTCTACTTTGGGAAATACTCAAAGAAACTACTGGCGTCCTACGGGCAACAGCGGCCACTTTTTGAACTAACAAGTTTGCAGACATTAATGAGCTCGTTGCTGTGAAACTCAAAATCAAGCACACGCCATGGAGGCGTTTAAACCCCGTTTAATATTTGTTCAAATTAATAGACAATTGTCGTTTATTTGTTCAAAAAGTAATAAAATTAATATTGCAAAATTATGTAAAAATGTGTGTGTGTGTGTGTGGTGTGTTGTGATACGAGACTAAAACTTAAATTGCTTTAAATATTTCTACATGTATAGTGGCATAAAATATATGTATTTAAATTATTAACTATAAATTGCATGAGATTGTTGCTTGTTTCGTTTGTTATTCTTTTTGTCATTGTAGCGAAACGTGGTGCAACTAGAGTTAGGACCTAAGAATCTTATATCTAAGTGGAATTTGATTTTAGGAGAAATCTCAAAAGTATTCTTCATTCATTCGATTTGAAAACAAATAGAAAAAAATAAAATGGATGCCACAAACCAAAGAGTCTTTGGCTGGCGATTAGCTAGGATCCGCAATCGATAATATAGCATTTTGCTAGGAATTAAACTAGAGTCTTAAATGAAGAAAAATTCGAGTAGTGCGCGATACAGAGTCGCCGAATGGAATCAATTTGCTTAAATCGTATTTACAGAATATATAATGTGATAGTGTAAGACAGAGAAGAGAGAATAGAGGATAGAGGATAGAGGAGGGTTCTTGGAGAACTGCTCTTGGGTATACACGCTATAAATTCTTTGGAGCTATGAGATTTAACAACAGGATCTTTGGTCATGCTATAGTGCAACATTTTTCAGACGATGAACAACGTCTACTCCATCTTCACGACAGTCTCCCGATCCACACCGTACTTACGCTCCAGCTCCTGCAGCTGCTTGGCCTGCATGGCATAACTGGCCACAGCCACCTGCTGCTCGTGGAGCAAACTCTGCTGGAGATGGAGCTCCTGTTGCTGCCGCTGGAAGGCCGCCAGTTCGTAGTGCTCGTCCAGCGAGCCCGATCGGCTGAGCATTAGCTCTCCCTGATGATGATGCTGCTGATGGGTGTGCGAGTGGTGCTGCTCCTGATGATGCTGATGTTCCATCTGCTCGAGTTTTATGTGCTGCTCCTCCTCCGTGAGATAGTAGGGCGGGGAAGCACAGCGTCCGCCCTGCTTAGACAATGCCATCGCCTGCTGTCCAAGCCCCAGCTGTTGATAGGGATTTTGCAGACTGATAATGTTGCTGTTGCTGTTGCTGTTGCTGAGGCTCAGTGAGGATAATGTGCTCGATGCCGTGGTCGGTGTTGATGCCGTGATTGTGGCCGTGGCTGACGATGTGACTTCTGGCTTGATCGTTGTCTGTGCTGCTGCTGCTGCTGCTAGTGCTGCCGCCGTAATGGAGTTCGGCATTAGGTGCGCCAATAGATCCGTGCTTCCGCTGTTGCTGTTGCTGTTGCTGTTGTTGCTCCCGTTCAATGGTTGAGATTGCAGATATTTCTGTATAATTTTCGTGTTATTCTCATTGCTACTATTGTTGTTTTTGTTGTTGTTGTTGAACAATGTGCTATTGTTGTTGTTATTGTGGATATTATGTTGATGATGTTGATGGGTGGGTGATGGTGTGTTGTAAATGGAGGCAGTGCTTGAGGTGGGTGTGCTGGGCGAATGCTGCTGCATGCTGCAGGATTGCTGTTGCTGCTGATGGGATGAATGTTGCTGCTGCTGCATATTGATGGGTGACATTTGATAGGGCGACGTGGGCGACATGTCCAGGCCAGAGCACAGCTGATGTTGCTGCTGCTGCTGCTGCTGCTGCTGCTGCTGTTGATGATGCAAATGCGAATGCGAATGCGACTGCGAATGTGATGTGGCTGAGGGGGACAATGAGGAGGAGGCCATGCTATGGGGCGAACTGGCAGCCGATGAATGCTGCTGTTGATCAGCAATGAGTTGCTGCTGATGATGCTGCTGTTGATGCTGCTGCTGTGATTGCTGCTGCTGCTGTTGCGATGTGGTTGTGGTGTATGGCATGTATGGTTTCATATCTAAGACAGAGCAGAGAGACAGACACACGAATTAGGCATGCACCCGCAAAGTGAAGGATCATTCAAGCGACACTTACCTTCATTCACATCTAAGCCCATGCCACCCACATTATGGGAACCAGAGCCAGCTGAGCCGGCACCACTGCCTGCACCTCCCTCTAGATTGGCATTTAGTGCCATTTTCATTTTCTTGGACTTTTCACTCTTTGTTCCCTTGGGTTTGCGCTTTCGTTTCTAAAGGATTCATAATATGGGATATAGAATAAAAGTTTCCCTTGAGTTCTCCTCTAATTGCTCACCTGAATGGTATCCTTTTTCATGGCCAAGGGACGTGTGACGCTGTGCAACTTAAAGTACAACCCACAGGCATTGCACACAGGCTCTCCGGCAGGATTGCGGCGCCACAAAGATGTATAGGTGGTTAGGCAATTGCTGCACGACAGACCAGCGCGCTTCGAGGCACTCTACATTGAGGGATAAACCAAGCATTAATTAGTAAAGCTTGCACACATCCTTTGAGCCTTTTTCATGTGGAACAATATATTCTATACAAGTACTTTATGGGATTTCTACTCTACTATTTCGATTTATTTTTCTTTCGGTTTTTGTTAGTTGTGGGAGCTTCTTCGGGGGGGTTTTTGTTGTTGTTTGGTTTGGTTTGGTTTGGTTTGTTAATTAATGAGCGACCTACCAAGCGTCTCGAATTGGCGCGACTAACATGCTCTTCAAGCGCCGCTGTTGCATTTGCCGCTGCCGTCGAAGCTGTCGCTGCCGGGTTTGCCGTTGCACCACCCGCAGTTGCAACAGCAGTAGCAATGGCTGTTGGAGTGTTGGCCTTACTACGGCTGGCGTTCACATTAAATTGGTAGCTCTTATAGAAATCCCCGCCTGATTCAGCGGCCACTGTAATTATATTATCAGAAGATTTTTGATTGAGCAAAAAAGCAGTAGGCAAAATGGCAAAACAGTAGTAGTAGAAGGAGTAGAAGAGTAGCAGAAATTTGTACGTTTTTTTTGTTTATCATCTTTTTGTTTTGTTTAGTTTTTTGTTCTTTTTTTGTATATAAAACTAATAATAAATTCAATTAATTTTTGTACTCTCTTTGAGGTTTGTTTTGGAATATGATTTTCCGATGGTGGGGAGGTTTCGGTTCAGAGGAGGGTTTCGGTTCGATACAGAGGCTGGCGGTTTTTGGATTTCTATAAGTTTTTCCCATATTTCTTCTTTAACAATACAAATATAATTTTGTTCCACACAAAAAAGCTTTTTTTGGGTTAGTAATAATTAGAGGATTTTTCAAGAGAGATGAGGAGAGACATGAGAGAGTGACATTTACCAATCTTCTAGGCTGTTTTATTAGTGGACGATTCATGCCGTTCATTTTCATGTACAAGCCGCAGGCGTTGCACAGATAGTGTCCCGTGTTATCGCGTCGCCACAGCGGTGTCTGGATCGCACCACAATTGACGCACTCTCGCCCCTCAGTGAAATAATCGGCATCGAAAAATGCTTCAAAAAGATGCGAAACGGTTTTACATGGAAAAAGTCATACAAATTATCATCAAAATTTGGTTGGTTGGTTGGTTGGTTGGTTGGGAGTGGTTTTTGTGTGTTTGTATTTTGGTTTTTGCTTTTTGTGGTGGTGTTTTTTTTTGTTTTTTGTGGTTTGGATTCTTTTTTGTTGTTGTAAGCTCAAGAGTGGATGTAAAATTAATTGAATTTATTATAGAGACGTAAGACTTAGAGATAGATTTGTATGCTAGGGATAGTTTCGGGTTCGAAAAGAATTTTTTTGTGTTTGGTGTGTGTTTATGTTTGCATAGGAAAACAGCAGTTGGCAGCAGCAGTTGCAGCAGTTCCTTCTTTGCAGTTTGCTCAGGTTCCGTAAATATCCAACCTCCGGGATCGAGCGGGTGCGAACTTCTACCTAACGAGAGGCTTCTTCCTCCTTTCTCCTCCTCTTGTGGTAAGGCAAACAATTCTCCTCCAATTGTATTTTCTATTTCCTATATTCTATATCCTAAATAGAGGCGAAAACTTACGTGCTGACAGCGAGGCTGATGCTGTTAAATAGGATCCTGGATCCACTCGTCCTGCGGCGCCATCTACGGCCGCTGCTGCTGCTGCATTTGCCGCAAAGATCTCTCGGCCGTTGCGAATCACATTCGTGACCACGCCGGCCCCACCAAGGCCGCTGCCGAGCTGCGTCTGGACACCGGATGCGGTGGCTGATGCGTAACTGATTGGCTCGTAATGACCCGGCCAGGCATCGTTCTGAAGGGGGCAGAGAGCACAGTGTTAGCAGGGAATCAATCAGCAGGAGAATCCCCGAGGGCATCACACTCACCTGAGTGCGATAATTGACCAGCGATGCGTAGCCAGCGGATCGTTCGGCTCCACTGACTACCGAGGAGCCATTGGAGCCGACAGACGACGCACAGCAACCAGTTGCGGCAGCAACATCACGCGCTCCTGCTGCACGCAGACTCCCAGCTGCTGCCCAGCCGCTGCTCGCCGATGCAATGCGCTGGAAGGCGGGCAATGTGCCACCGCCGACGCTTCCACCTCCTCCTCCGCCGCCGCTGTGGCTGCTCTTTGGCGAGCCATAGCCATCGTCCAGGAGCCCACTTCCATTGACAGTCGTTCCAGTGGCCAGGCCCACTGGTCCTGGGCTGCTGCTGCCAGAATTGTGATGCTGATGGAGCTGCTGCTGCTGCTGCTGTTGCTGTTGAGGATTGTGCTGCTGCTGGTGGGAAGGTTGCTGCTGCTGATGGGGATGCTGCTGCTGCTGCTGCTGCTGCTGCAGATGCGCATGGGCGTGGCTTGGAGACTGCATTCCGTACTGCATGCCATTTGCCGCTTGGGTAAGCAGGGGTCCAGCATACACGGAACTGCAAAGCAAGGTAGGAAATTAGTTTAGTATTGCATTTATGGATATTTTATTTCGGATTAAAAATACTATTTTAAGGGCGTTACCTATAGCAATAGTTCTTCAAATACATATTATTGTAATTAGAGAAAAACATTTTGTTTGGAATTTTAGATAATTTTGTAGTTTTATCTTTTTTTCAGGCGTTTAAAACAGATGCCAAAACACACGCTGGCATACGTTTAAAAACGCTTGGTACACATTTACGCGCGTTTTTAATCGCGAGGTTGTTAACAGCTCTGTTGGGGTGGCTGTTACTGCAGCTGTTATTGTTCCTGTAACTGCTTTTGCTTCTGTTAATGTTACTCTTGCTATCTCTTTCCCTCTACTTTTGCCCTGTCCTTCTCTGTGTGTCTTTCTGTTGGTGCCAAAAGGAAAGAATCTGCTATTAACATTCCCTGATTTTTGTTTATTTTACAAGATTGTTGTTGGAGTTTATGCTGCTGTTGGACCACCAAAGCGGATTAGTGGATCACATTTTGCAGTGTACTGTGTGGGTGTGCTTGAGTGTGTGTTTGGGTACGTGCATGTGTATGTCCATAAAACTTTTAATTAAAAATAAAAGTACTTGCGAGTCGTCTGAAAATGTCATTCCCTTAAGATCGTCCTCTCTTCTCTATTCTTTCTTCTCATTCTTCCGCTTCTTTCTCTTACCCAAACAGTAGCCTTTACAAATATTTATCCCCCAGGCCCCAAAGGGAAACTTCCACAAACTAAGCGGATGCAATAACGAACAAGAATCAAATTGCTGCGTAGTCAAAGGTCTCTTTGACGCACAGATTTATCACTTTTTGGAGGATTTTGAATCAGAAATATACATGTACAGAAATTGTTTGGGAATTTACTAGAATCTGGAACTATACTTCAACAGGTAAACTACATTCTTGTCAACGAATAGATCTCTCCTCCTCCGATGAGTTGTTGATTGCGCACTAAAGTGTACTAAAATATCTTTAAACGGACACTAAAGCACTTGAAAGGATTTGCTCGTATTTTATGAAGTAAGAAATATATCCTTAAAGACTGCAAACACGTACACACTCCACTAAAAGGACACTACAAAGATCTCTGCAGACTTTTACAGCCCTTTTTATTTTTTGTTTGTTATGAAAATACAATTATTATTTAATTCGTCCACAGGCGCAGGCTTTAGCACTCGAAGATATTTTTCTTCCACTAAATTGAAGTTTCATTTTGATTTATTTTTATTTGAGGAGGAGATCGATCCCGTAGCTGAGGCTGGGACTGGAGACGAGAACGTGAACGAGAACGAGACCGAAAGCACAACCGAAACGGGGCACGCGCGTTTGCATAATGACTTGACGTCGGGTTTTAGATTTTATGCAAGTGGAAGTTGCAGTTGCAGTCACCGCTGCTGCTGCACTGCATTTGCTTTTGGCTGAGACGTAGACGCCGAGGGAGAGTTTAAGCCACAAAATAAGCGATAAAAATTGTGTGAAAAACTTGTACAAAATACAAATTGGAAATAAGCCAATTGACAGTTTACGTATGTACAGTGATCGCTCGGAGAGTGAAACCAAAGAGACATAGAACATATATTTAAACCTGATGTTAACAAAGTTATTTTTATATTTGAGAAATATTAGCAAATTATGTTTGAGGATACTTTGGGGATGGTTCAGGCTTGATGATGGATTCCAAAGCTATCGAAATTCGAATCCAGAAAAGGTTCCTCGTTCCTAGCAACCACTGTAGGTTTTAATTATCACCCAAAACGCTAGAACTATAGCTCTTCTTTAACATAAAACCAAGTCTTGCCAAAGTCTCCAAGCACGCTCTCTGATAACACAGTCAGGCCCAAGAACAAAACCAATTTTCAAACTTTCCGAGATGCCAAGTATATCTTTATCTCTGGCTATAGGTACTCATACTCATACCTACACTCGACTATGTAGAGAATGGCATACAATATATATAGGAAGTCGTCTCTGAGTGACAACAAAAAATGCACGACAACGATATAATTTATCATCGCTTCAGTTTTCTGTCGGTTCTGTCGGTTGTGTCGGTTGTGTCGATTCTGTCGGTCGGTCCGCTGCTGCTGTTTGTTGCAGGTGAGTATTTTCTGCATTCGATTCGACTTCTTGTTTTTCCACAATACTCGTCTCGTACTCGTATGTGAGCTCTCGACGAATGTCGGGCGTTGTGATATCTTCTTCTGGTTTTCTGGTTTTCGCACTGCAGCCCCAAAATGAATAAAAAGTCACATACAAAATGTTCCGAGCATCGTCGTCACCGTTGAACCAAACCAAAAGAGTTCTCTCTGAAGATCTTCTCCCAAGAATCAAAAATAAGCTTAGCAGTACTTTTCTTCCTTTAACCATAATTCGATACACCTTCTATGATATTTGCCGATCTTTTGCCATCTATAATTTGATCCCTTTCAATCTGTACGATCTCTCATATATCCCCTTCCTTATTCTTGTGATCTTGGGCGCTGTTTTGGGGCGCGTATATCTTGTTGCGAATCTCGATTATAAGTATTCGAGGCTCAACCTTTCGAAAGATCAAAATAAACAATGGGAGAACATAAACAGAGGTTCACACTTGCATAAATGTTATGGGGCGACGCGTCGTGCTCCGCTCCCTTCCGCACCCTTCTGTCTGTTTGCTTCTCCTGTCGTTGTCGTTGTCGTTGACGCTGAGTTTTGAGGCTCAGCGAAAAAATAATACGAATTACCGCTCAAATTTCGTAAACAAGAAAATATTGCATATGCAATGTCTCCAATTATTGACGCAAGGGACGCACTGGCTGTGACTTCGACTCGGACTTTCTGAGTCATGACTTTTCTCGTGGCCCGGCCCAAACAGATGTTAGCGGCTCAACTATTGCTTGGCTAACTTTTGGCCTAAACAGGGGGGTTACCAGCAGTATTTTGTGGCCAAGCACACACGTGTCCAAAAAAAGTCAGGCACGTGCCACACTAAAAAACATCAAAGGAAAAGGGGGGCGTGACCCGCATTTGATCGGCAGTTCCAAAATGCAATTGAAGCGCATTTTTCTAGCTTGTTTGTTGCTTCGGATCGGGGTATTCCAATTGCAAAGCTCTCTATTCGAGGAGGATACCTGGTAGTGGTGGTGTCTCTGAATTTCTCGAGGGGTAATCTAAAGCCATCCCGTGACATAGAAACCGCCACCTGAACGAAACGAAACTCAAACCCAAACTCAAACCGAAACTCTGAAAACAGCTTCAAAGCCGCAGCTGAGTCAGCTTCAAAAACCCCTCTACAATACCTCTAGAAAGGAGGAACACTGGGGGGTTCTCTAACGATCCAAACGGGTGGAATCCCACACTGTACAACCCGCACTTTGAATGCTCGCCCGCCTGCCCTGTTTCTGCCTTTGGATCCAATTTTTCTTCTCTGTTTTTCCCTCTGCTTTGGACTTGTTTTTCTCTCCTATATTTTTTGCCACATTTTGAACTTCATTTGAGATCGCTTTTTGTGTGGTTATTTATTTTAAATTGGAAACGTGTTTTGCACATAGGAAAATACAGGCATAGCATGAAAACAGTCTGTGGGTTGAGTGAGGAATTTCTGTTTGTTCGGTTGATGATTGGAAATTTATGAAAATTTGTCAGAGGAAAAATGTTGTTCCTGTGTTTATGGCATGTATTATTGGTAGGTATTCCCTTGATTTGCTTTCAGTTCGTGCCACACCTACTAAAACCCATACAAACTCTAGAGGCTGGCACATTTTTCATATGACATCTGTGATGGCGACAAAATCGCAACTGTTTTTTATGATTGTGTTTTCATTCGAATGCAGAAAAACACTGCACACATTCCTCTCTCTAGACACGAACACACAAAATAGATGGAACCAGATTTTTGTAAGCATTCCATTAGTCGAATAAACCACCTGAGAATGCCACAGAACAGAAATGTGTGTGAGCAGGGATCGAACGACCGATCGAACCCACACTTTTTGAGAGCAAAGTCTAAAACCTGGAGGAACAATGAGCAACAATTATGACTAAAGTATAATACACATATAACCCAGTGGAGAAATGGAGAACCCTAGCACAGAACAGAGAACTGAGGAAAAATCATAGTCAGAGTCGCGACTGTCGTCGGTGGGGAAAGAGAGAGGGAAATATGAATCAACGAATGCGCTTCTCTGATCATGACTTTTGGCGGTGTCGCTCGTAGCTCGAAGCTCGGTTAAGGCACGTGCGATATGGATCGTGATAATGAGCTCATACTCTCGTTCGAGTAGCACGCGGGACGGTGGGTGCCACACACACAAACAATCACTCACCTGGTTGTCTGCAGGCTGGGACTGAAGTATCCCCCATGCTGTTCCGGCGAGAGGCTGTCCCGGTGGCCGGCGCTTGTCAGCTGCGTGAAGCTCTGGAGCGAGGACAATGCATGCGAGGAGGACGAGGGGGAGTCCCCTCCTGCCGAACTGGCGGAAATATTGTGATGGTGGTGCTGTTGTTGGTGGTGGTACAATTGTTGTTGCAATTGTTGCTGCTGTTGCTGTTGCTGGTGCGTCAGTGAGTAAATGGTGGGACTGGGATCCTTCAGGGAATGCAAATCTGAGACGGAGGTAAGCATGTGGTAGCTGGCGCTGTGCCCATCATCGAAGCACTCATCCTTCAGTGTGTCCTGGATGACCTCGTCAATGTTGGGTGTATTCTGGGCATTCGCTGCCGCTGCGGCGGCTGCCACCACATGATCGTGGGTGATCATTCCTCCTGCTCCAACTCCTCCCGCCGATCCTCCTCCTCCCCCACCATAAACGCTGTACAGCGCAAAGTTATTCCTCATTATGGATGGGTCCGTGCTTGCGCCGGTGATGCTCTGGTAGTGTTCGTACAGCTGTGCGGGTGGATGCGGTGGCGGATAGCTCAGATGTCCGAAGAAATGATGCGAGGCTGCCAACGCATACAAATCGGTTGGCTTTTGCTCCACTGCTTGGACTGCTGGCACAGCTGCTGCGGATCCGCTTGTCAAATCGTAGGCCAACCAGCGTTGCTCCTGTTGGTGCTGTTGTTCTTGTATTAATTGCTGACTGAGGAACTGTTGTTGCTGTTGTTGTTGTTGTTGTTGTTGCTGCTGCTGCTGATCGTAGATTTGTTGGTGCTGTTGATGCGCATAGTTTATTACTTTGATCTTATTATCGACACTTTCACTCGCGTTGTTGCTCTCTTGAGTACCGTTGTTGAGCGCCGCCGCTTCACGATTAGGATCTCTCTCGATCTCTGCGGTAACTGATGTGGCTTCTGCTGCGGAATTTACTGTTAGAGTGTCGCTGGTGGTAACCGTTTCGTTTGTGAGTTTCAATGCAACTGAAGTGTGAGCCTGCAAACGCGCGGACTCAAATGACGATAAATTTGTGGCCGACGCCGACGTCGGCGCTGCCTCATTGTCGTCGGCGGTGGCGGCGGACCGAGTCTCTGTCTCTGTCTCGGCCTCGGCCTCTGTCGTAGGCTCCGTTTCGGTCGCAAGAGCTGATATCGTCGTCTCTTTCGCTGCTGCCGCTTCGACTGCATTTGCTGTTGTTGTTGCTGCTGCATTTGATCCTGTTGCTGTTGTCTCTTTTGTTTCTTTTGTTGCTGATGCAGCAGCACGTCCTTGCTTGTTCTGCTGCTGCGTCTTGGCATTGGACAGGGCTTTGGTGATCTTCATTTTGGCCGCATTTGCCAGCAAATTGGTGGAAGCACGCGCCGACGTTGACGGCCCCTTCTCCTTTTCCTTGGGCTTAGTGGTCTTGGTCATCGTCTAAGTGCTCCCCACTCTCTGGCTCCCACAAAACACTCGCGCGCGTCCAGAGTCCCAGAGTCTCGTCTCCCACTAATAAATCGATCCGCGCTCTGATCCGGCGTACGTGTCCGTGTCCGGCGAGTTTTTCAAGTAAACTGGAGCCACTGGGGAACTTGGGGCTCGACCGTTGGCGAGCGCTTAAAAATTTCGAAAACACGGACACAAATAAAACCTCGAGTAAAAATCATAAAAAAATTGTTTTTAGATTCCTCCACACACTACACGACGAGAGAGAGAGAGCGCGAGCTTAAGTTCTGTTCTCCTCTCCCTGGCACCTCTTCCATTCATCCCCCCCACACATACAAATATCCCAACACTTTTGCTAGCTCTGCGCTTTGCTCCACTTGCCGTTATACGAGTCACAATCATAATCATCATCAATGTACAGCTTCAAACGTCGCTGTCAAAGCGTGAGAGAGAGAGAGAGATCCAGCAAAAGCTTAAGCGCTCTCTTCCTTTTGCTGTTGTGTCTCTGCGACTGCGTTCGTGGACTTGTTGCTTGCTTGCCAGTTTTGGCTACGCCTCTTAATATAATTACAACAGCAACAACACGCAGCAGGCAGCCGGGGGCTCATTTGTAGTTGTTGCTTTTTCTTTTATTGCTTCCATTGTGGTTGGCTGTTGCCAGCGAGCACATACACATACATGTGTACATATGTATGTAAGTATGAACATGTGTATGCATGTACTTATAGTATGTAAAACAAGCAACAATTTAAGCACTACTATTTGCTTACTAAATCGATCTACACCGTTGATTTTCACTGTACAGGCATGATATGCTTTGCATTCTGTGACGCACTACACATTATCGAACAGCGATCGTCAAGAAGCTACTTTGTCAATTTTGGCAGAACTTATCAAAATTAAAAGAAAGGAATTTTACAATTTTAACGTGATTTATTACCGATTAAGTAAAGATTATATCAACCCGAACTGTGGGTAGCGTTTCCATAAATACAGGCCCTTGAATCGTATTTCTATATTTTTCCAAAGTAATTTCAAAATTTAGTCGCACTTCATTAACCAAAATAAATCGATACCCATTATGGTTGGACTCTCCTTTCGTTGTGGCCAATATCCTCTCTATTTCTTCACGGTTACTTTTGAAAATCCTACGTAAATAAATGGTTCCATAAATCAGCTCGTATTAGAACACACAAAATGTTCTCTACAATTTCATATTTATAACAAGCGTTGACTACTCGCACAGCAAGGGGAGCTGTAGCCACAACCCAGAAAACACTGTCATGCCTATCGCGAGGACGTGAACATTAAATTTTCATAGGAGACGCGTATAGAATTTCAGAATCAGGGCAAAGGACACACTCTGGAGTCGCGACAAGTGATCGCTGGAGCCAGAGACCTACCCGACTCGACGGAGGGGCGCCGTGAGAAAAATCCAAGAGGAAAGCCTTTCCCGTAGCAGCCAGAGTTTTCTTTTGCCAATTCCCCAGACGACGCGCCAAAATAGAATATTCAAAAACGATCGTAAAAATGTTTGTCCGTGTACTTGAGATCCGTTCTATTGGTTGATTAAAAAATTGTTATATTTGAACCAGGACGAAAAGTCGTAAAACGGCGAGGATCGCTCCAAGAATTTTATGGCATTTTTATCGTCATTTGAATAGGCGGCACCAACGATCTGTTTGGACATTTTGAGAACACTTTTACGATCCAATGGATCGATGGTCAATTGGGAAAAGTAGGCGGCGAGACTCTCAAGTGGGTCGCCACCGACTCCGTCTCCGTCGACATCTCCTCGTCGCAGTTCGGTGAGGTTCAATACTGATCGGTTCGTTACAAAAACAAATCTAAATTCGAATTTAAATTCTACAAACTCGCACTCGTCGAGCGCATAGACATACATACATATGTACATGGCTTGTTGTTAACCTTTGTGGCCATTAAAAAATTATATTTAATATAAAAAAATGAAGGAAAAAACACTGATAACATTGCCACAGCCTGACTGTGGAATGGTATGGATTGGAGGGGGACCTGTCCGTAACGGACCTTTCCCTAGTCCCGCGGGCACATGGGTCGGTCTCTGTATATGTAATATACATAGAATACATATTATATTTTTGTGTATGTTGGTTGTGGCAGTGGCTGCGGACTCTTGCTCATTAACAAAAGTTTTCAATTTTTATTCGAAGGCAAAAAAAACAATTGAATTATTTAGACATTTTCAATACGCTTGCTCGTGATTTATATGAAACTTTAACCTTGAATTTATTAAATAACTCAGCACGAAAAACTTGCAGTGTAGACGTCACCCGGCGGCTCTTTGATATACAACACGCCATTCGAGCATGTCGGTAGAGAGAGGCTATAGGTATGTTCACGTATATATTTCTAGGAAGAAAAGTGTGTAGAAATCGGAAAAGTACAGCTTCAAAAAGCAACAATTTCAATACCATATTTTCTTCGTTATTCTTATATAACTACTTCTTATATTCAGATCCCATTCCTGTTTCGATTCGGAATGTTTCTCGACAGTAAACTTTCTCACACTTGTGACTGGTGACTCCACCTACATATTCGTATTCGTAGCTGTCGTTCCACCATCCACCCCCCTGTGATACTAAATGTTATGCTTAGTTAAGTCCGTTGATAAGTTTTGGGTTCTGCTATAAACGAAATGCATTGAGCACAAATGCAAATAACCCCTCCAACTATCATTGAGCGTCGCACTGACTCTCCGCCATGTGAGTCAGGGCTGAGTGCCCCGTGCCCCTGTGTGTGGCACACACACACACAACTCTGTCGTGTTCAGTGAGTGTCAACAAACATGAAGAGATCTCTGGTGGAACCAATAAATCATACAGCGAGCCGTGGCACTGCCTAAATGCTAATGATGTGATTTATTACAATCCTGAGAAAAAGGATAATCTTTGTGGATCTTGCGGGTGCCGGTGCGGGTGCCGGTGCGGGTGCTGGTGCGGGTGGTGCCCTGTTTCACACTCGAACTACAAATGTAATGGGCCGTGGCGATACTCCAATGTGGAACATATCGAATGGCGGCCCAATGTTTATGGCGAAAAGCAATATAATTAGTTTTATACACAAATGAAAACCACTGAGGGCCAATTTAAAGAACACAAACCATACCATTACCATCGTAGAGTATATTTGTATATCCCACGAGACCCACGAAAACACGAAGTTTTTTGTTGTTGTTGGGTGTTTGCTCTGGAATTATTTTGACATATTTATGGCTGCCACGAACAAAAATGGGTTGCAACAAGTGTGGACTGTGTGGCGAAGAGTCTCGTGTATCATAGGAATGATCATATATAGTTCCAGTTCCAGTGCTGATGCATTTATGCATTTTTAATATTTTCGTGTGCATCTACTCCTCAGGTCATAAACATTACACTCTTGGTAATCCAATACTCCTCCTCCTCCTCCTCCTCGGGATCTCCTCTTTCGTAGTGCTCTCTACCTATCTTTCGGATACAAGTTGCTTGACTCCTTAAGCGCCAATTATCAGCATCGTTATGTGGTAGGAATAATCCAATATAAATGCCATCAAAAAAAAGAAACAGCATCTGATTCAAGTGGTTCGCAATTGAGTTCTTCCGACGCTTATCAAAAACCCCATTTAACGACCGCCGAGAACATGTCTTTAACACTCTTTTAGGGCTACGATAACCAAGGCAAGTGGCCCAGCAGTTTCTTATCTGTGGGGTCCTTCAATGGTAAATGGTCCGAAAAGGGTAAAGAGTGTAATGGAAATAGTGGGAGAAATAGCCATGGAGCGGTGTGTTTGATAATAGGAGTTAAAAAGTACTTGGACCAAGGAAAATCTGCTCGAAAAGATCTCTCCATGTGTCCGGCATAATATCAGAATTTCTCAATATTATGCAAATAGAAAAAACATTTGTTTCCCAGCTAATTTGTAGAGTCAACAGTTTTGACTTGCTTGAGCAGGATTTGATGCAATGTTCCCTAAGTGACTCTTAGATCTCTCCTAGATCCTGTCGCTTAACGAATGTAACATATTTCCCGCACATGAGCAACTTTTCCCACAGCCAAATAAACAACAAACAAAACAAAACAAAACAAAACGAAACGAAACGACAAACATCACAAACTGAACCTATTTAAATAGAGTTTTATATTGGGAGAAAGAAAAGTGTCAAGAAGCCACGATTAAGCCACTCAGATCAGGGCTAATCGGGCAGCAGTCCGGCCACAGAGACCACAGCCACAGACGGCTGCCATTTGCCACAAGCAGAGGGAGGGGTACGATCGATCCACAGGTAGAACTCATCCCCCCAGCCATCATCAGGTAAGCCACGGCCACAATTTGTGGCAAAAGGTAAACACAAACAAAATGGAAACACGCGCCGACACGATACAAATTGATCATGACAAAAAGGACAACCTTCGCTCTCTCTCTCTCTCTCTCTCTCTTTGAGGGTACTTTTTGTGACAGGAAAAACAAACAGCAACTCATCTCTCTGCTTTTGATTATTGTTTTCGCTGACAATATTTTCTATTCCATTTTCGCTTTGCTCGCTCTCCCATTGTTGGGTTATATAATTTTGTTGGCTGGAAAATATGTTTTCGTGTCCTGTGTCCTGTGGCATGTGTGACACGTACCTGGCGCTGCCGCTGGCGCTTTCTAATTAGGCCGTCGTCTTTCAGCACTTGGAAATGAATGCCTTGTATATTTTTTTAGGCAGCCAATGCTTGTTTGATGATTTTTTAATGGCCTGAATGGGCTGAGCGACTTCGAAAGTCTCCAGCCCAGGGGGTGGTCGACTAATGGGCGAAGTCAAAGAAAATAGGTCTGAGATTTAGTAATATTTTGAATAATTTTACAAAGAAACTAGAATGGTTTTGGTGAAGGGATATTAGTTATCAAAAACTGGAATTAATTGAATGGAAAAACCAAACATAAGGATCCATAAATTAAGACTTTTTGATAGGACCAGGATCATGGCCTACGACTAATTTCTGTTAGAATTGCTAACTTAAGAAAAAGAAACAAATAAACCGAAAATATATCACAGAAAGCCTGAAAAAAAACATGAGTAAGTAAAGTTGAAGCAAAAAAGAAAAATAAAATGTAAACGAAGTAAAGAAAAAGAATTATGAGCATTACAAGAAACCAGCATGACGATCG